TCTGACCTAGTGTGGTCTTAGGTGGTTTATCACTCCAAGTGCCGGACTTGGGTTTCCATCACAGAAAAGCAAGTCTTCGTTACAATGGGGTTCCATCCCGTCCGCTGTTCATCACACAAATGTGTGTAATAAAAAAAGATTTCTAACAATACATTCAGCTAACCCTTTCTGAGCTGCGTGACATTGCCCGTTTTAGATGAGTCTACTTATTAGTAGTTAGAATATGATTATAAAAGGTATCAGATAATAAAGTACTCTTGCGCCATGAATAAAATGAAAACAGAGAAATAATGGAATCTGCGATCCACTGAAACTTATTCACTTACGTCACACTAGTTATTGATCAATTTTGTTTCTTCCATGTTTCTCCTGTCCTAAAATCGGAGTGTGTCGCAACACACAATTAGTGTTTCCATATTTACCTTATCGGTTTAATTTTCTGAAACATGTTCTGAAATGTTCAAAAATGTTCATCAGAACGCATAGATACAACAAGTAAGCGCCCCAGTCACTGTCAATTTTTTGATGAATTGCAGATCTTACGGTGGTAAACTACAATAAATTTTGTGCTAGCACACCGGACGTGTTTTGGAGGACAGATCCGGCGAATGAGGACGGAATCCAACCCACCTATTTCAGTAACATCACAGCCATCGGATTGAATCCCGACAACCTAGTCTACTATGACCGACCGGCTTTGAGGTAGATGATTGTCTTAGTTTTTAGGAATTCTATCATTATTGTATTACTCACTCCACACTCACTGTACTCCAGTTTGTTTCTCCCGTGCATTGGCGCATTGATTCAGTCCCCCCGTCCTCCGTCTGTTCTGTCTGAATGTGGTCAGATTACAGCAAAAATTGATGAAGTGGACAAAACGTAAAGTCAATTGTCGAATTAGCTGAACTTTCATCATCTCTCTCTCTCTCTCGATCACAAACCATCCACCTATCTGGACTCCATGCATGTAAGATTTTGATCGTCCTGTTCTGGCGAGAAGCGCACAAATTAGTTTGCAATCAGTTGTGTTCAACTTGCCAACAACTGACTACATAAACATGGCAGATCTAATGCTGAACTATCTGCGAACAAGTGATCGAAGACTCGATTTCATACTGCGGTTTTAAACAAACATAGTCCCTGTTGAGGGACGTGTGCGTTAACTGTGCCGACAGTTTGGTCCGGCGAGATCAAATTTACCTCTCACTGCCACAACTAAAACTTCCGGTATCGTTTGTTTAACACTTGTTTTTAATTCGATGACGCCGCTTCATGTGGCAGTTTGTTCATGGAATGGGGCTAAGGAATAGAAAAAAGACTCTTTCAATATTATGGTATTTATATAAGTTGTAATTTTGGAAACATATTGATGTCGGTAAAGGTGAAAATAAGCCGACGTTTTCGGTTACCGTGGGTAACCTTTATCAAGGCGATTTTACCATAGAATTGTATGAATGTATGGATGAATCGCGATTTGAAACCGAGAAAGTGGATTGAAATAAGGAAGAGCTGATCATTCTGGTCAACCGAGTTTTCAGCTTTAGAATATGCGGGTTATTATGAACGTCACGGACCTTTAAAGACAAAGAGAAACTTCTTTATGCCAAATGTTTAGGGTTTTCTTACAAACATATATATATAAATCACTAAGTGACAACGAATGAGTTTCTCAGACAATCGTAAAGTGCTGTGCAGAACTTCAGACCCATAAATTCAAAATATTATCTGCAATCTAATCCGAGTGGAAGGATATTGTAGTTTATCATTGATGGTCCTCAGTTTGGCAGGTTAAATCAATTTTTGTCGTATTACTAATAGCTAAAATATGTTGGAGTGTATAGATAATAGAACCTAGTTATGTATACGGAAAGTAATATACGGCTGTGAGCAAACTGTTGATGTGAACAACAGAATTAACAACCACCACCATCACCACCACCGTTACTACCATTAGCACAACGGGACTCATTTCACCCCAGTCCCCTACAGGCAAACAGTGATTGACTGCAACATCGTTTCTCAAACTGACTGAGCCATGTTATCCTCAGTAAGAAGGAAGTAGAGAATATAATATTCTCAAAAAATGCCTTGCTAAAGTAAATACCAAGGGGAAACATTTGACCCTAGGTGGGTCAATCCTAAATCGAATCTCTATCCTAACTGATTGTTGTAAAACATCATGAATGGAGACTGGTCATACCTCGGGACTGTCAGGCATTCTTGTTACAGGTGTTCATTCCTACGCGAACTTTTTACATGTGGGGAAATGGTCAATTCCGAATGCTCGAAGCCTATAGTTATGGGCAGTACTTCGTGTGCTCCAGGAAAAATCGAATGAGCTCATTCAATAATATAACATTCTACTATGTGAACTGCTCACAGATGCTTTATTTTTGTCTATCGATGCTGAATAACTGTCTTCGAAACGCCAGGTGAACAGACACCCCAATTATCATGCATTATCTCTGTCGAACCTCTAGTGCCGTAACGTTTGACAAATGTGGGGATATGGAATGTGATGGACACAAAAAAGTGCTGGTCATCAACGCGGACGGGACCCTATTTGGTCAACCCACAACTATCCTACCACAGTCCGAATGGCAGTGGGACAAAAATCCCGCCTACGGAATCGGTTCCAGCAAGGTCCCGAGACGAATGACCACAAATTCCGATGGAACAACCATAGACATCAATACATACTGGCCCAATAAAGGTGCGGTACTTAGCTTTTCTCAGTTTTCACCCTTTTGTCAGAATTTCTCAAAATATCACATTGTGGTCTTTTGTTAAATGATAATGCGGAGTGTAATACAGAATAATTATTCGTCACTGAAGTACTTTTAGAAGGGATTCATTTAAGATTTAGGATATCAAGCGGAGTGCAGTATTTTGACAAATCAAACGTGAACGACAATGAAACTGTTTGCCAAGTTTCGGAGATGCACATTTTGAGCTCTCCCGGCACCATGAGTTGCAAAAAGAAGGAAGCTATGCAAAGTATTTCTCCATCTAGCGCACAATCCAATCGAATGTGAATTACTCTGATGTGTAGAAAATCCATTGATTTGAGACAGTGACCCCCCCCCCT